GTTGGGATTAAAATAAGATTTTAATCTATGTCAAAATCACTCATTACTTTCAACAATTTATTTTACGGGATTCATATCTTTTCAACTATACATTTCATAATTTTTTATTAAAAAAATCTTAATTTTATCCCCACTACACGAGGACTAAATATAATTTATTGATAGACCAATCGTGACAAAGCGAATATCTTTCCTCCCTTCTAATCATGCATTAATTATATCGAAAGACCATTTTGGGCTTCGACCAAGATCGAGTGAAAAAATCGATTTAACTCACACATTCACAATATACAAGGGTTTAGGTTAAACATTGTCAGGAGTAAAATGTCAAATACACATCTATTCATTTATTTCACATTTTCTAGCATAGAAAATCAAATGTGTTCAATAGATCTGGAGACTGGAGACTTGATTTTTGGGCCTGGAAATTCAACAAATTTGACTTATTAAACCTCCAAATTCCCTAAATATACCAGCCCAGAAAACATGCTGTGAAGCCCAATAAAATCTAACATTGGTACTGATAAATATGTTGCACTTCCTTGTAATCAAACCCTAATAGGGGTCTCTTAATTAACATGGTCCACAAATCAAATCAAGTCCTTNGGGGGGGGGTGGGGGGGGGGGGGATAAATTAATTTTTATAATATTATTATTAATATTTAATTAAATATAAAAAATTTGTATCTATTTTAAAAAGTTCTAACTTTTGAAAAAAAAAGATAAAATCTGGTTTTAGAAATTGAATTTCCAAATGTAGGGATATGTGTAATTTCCACTTCCCTAAATACACCAGCCCAGAAAACATGCTGTGAAGCCCAATAAAATTTAACGTTGCTTGTAATAGAATTTATCCAATTGTTGGCAAATAGCCCAATAGTTTCAAACAATACTAGATTTCTTAATAACCATACAAGAACAAGAAGATCACCCCTTTTCATGCCAATTCTTATCTATAGTTCATTATTTATTTATTTTTATTTTGATATGTTCCGAAAGTGTTTATTAAAAGTATAAATTATAAATAAATAGAAATGATTGATAAATAAGTGGGCAGTACCCGTGAATCCCTCGAAATGTGTTAATAAAATTGACTAGTGATATGTGTGAAGTTTAATTGTAGCGAATAATTTTTCTTCACGGTCCAGTCGACACGATATCTTGAGAAGTTTGCTCATATATTAAGCCGCCATCGAACTCCATTTTTACACCGTTGCAAAGTGCAAGTGGGTCCTAATGTTTGGGCTCTATTGAGAAGGAAGTCAAAATGACGGTAGCAACGGTACAATAATTGATTAAAATCTGACTGAATATTTCTCCCAAGCAGGCGGTAAGTAAGTTTCCTTAGAATTTTTGGAAGTTCTTGTCAAGAAAATAGAGAGACTCGAGTTATAAACTAATTTTAATTTCTTCTTCGTTATAGTTAAATTTCGTAGCAATAAGTTGATGTAATTTTTGTATTGAGAGTGAACCACTGTGTGATTAATTACTCTTAATAGAATATAATCAGCATTTGATCTATAACATTTTACAAAAAGCCAACCTTATTATACATGAATGGTTATAAAATATGAACAAATGTTTGGTTATAACTTATAAGCTTTTCTATTTTTTCTTATTCTAATCTAATTCAATAGAAAATTAGCTATTTTTCTGGAGTGTCGTCCATTATTCTGCTTGGACAACTGTTTAATAACCTTGAGATCTCCCTATGAGTTCGGATCAGGACTTATGTTCTTTCATCCGAAAATGCATATATACACTATGAGTCGCTTCCAAACCTTTCCCTCTCGTTAACTTATATTTATAAGATAGATTCAATGTGACTCCTAGAATATATTGTTTTAATGCATTTTCCTTGA